TGAGGGCTTAGGGTGTAGGGTTGAGGGTTGAGGGTGTAGGGTTGAGGGTTGAGGGTTTAGGGTTAAGGGTTTAGGGTTTAGGCTTTAGGGTTGAGGGTTGAGGGTTTAGGGTTGGGGGTTAAGGGTTAAGGGTTTAGGGTTAAGGGTTTAGGGTTTAGGGTTTAGGGTTGAGGGTTTAGGGTTTAGGGAGTTACATGAGTCATGCTTAAAGCTGCCACATACACCCTTTGAAGAAGATGGGTGCTGTGCGAATTCTTCGGGCACTCCAGCTAACCTCACCTGTAACTTGTAACTAGCCATAAACCTTCAAGTACCCTTGACGGACCTTTCAGACTGGTCTTTGTGCCTGAATCCTATTGCCCCAAAAGACGCGGTGACAAGGCCACTGGTCCTGTATCTATACCGCATAATCTGGGGGATTCATTAATTCAGGATGCTGTAGGGGTGATGCTTGACAAACTTCGATCAAATGGCCGGAGTACGAAGCATTTGGGTTTACGATCGGGCACAAGACATGTATAATGAAGTAGGAACACGAGGGCATCGTGGTCCAAGTAACTATTCAGGCGGCTTCATTATCCTCATGCAACGTCTAGCTTGCACGTGATCCCTACGAAGCCATCAACAACACCAACAGGCTGCGGCCCGCTAAAGACTCCATGATCGCCCTAAATTGAATGGGGGCCCATGCCCATGGGATGCGGGGGGCTGGTGTGAAGCCCCGAGGTTTCTCAAAATACGCCGCCCTGGAGAACCCAGAGCTGGACATATTGAGGTGCCTCTTAGGAAGTACATAAGCAGAATTTTGAGAAACTCCCATCTGTTGCTACAGGAGGAACCTTTGAGCACCCGGCAGAAAGGATAGACTTCAAGAAGCTCCTGGCCTGTTCAAAGTTGGTGGTTAGCTCAGACTTCGCTACGATCCTAAGGCTACTGGTGTTAAGGGGCAAAAAGAGTATGACCTAAACCCCCAAAATATGTAGCATATTGGCCCTAAACCCATAATAATAGCCCTAAAGGCCATCATTTTACATACCTTTGGGGTTTAGGGAGTACTTACAAATGGGACTCTGCTGGGATGATCACAAGGCACAAGGGCCCACTCCTCCCAAACACAAGCTTGCTTCGAAATGCACCGCGGGGTGTTTTAAGCATGTTCCGCATGATGGAGACAAAGGTCTAGTTCGGCTTCAGGGACAGGGGTTCAAGGTTTGCAGGCGGCAACACGCCATCTGCTTGGTTGCCAACTTCAAGTAAGTCTCCATTGCTCCCCCAGCATATGCAAAAAATACATATTCCGGGGCGCCCCGCAATAGAACAAATCCCTAAGAAGGACTTCCTTTCAAAGGAGTTACAAGAAAACCCAGGAGCTCTTGGAGGCTTTGTCTTTTTTTGGGTGGATTTTGGGGGGTCATATAGGAGATAATGGAAAAGACAATGGAAACTTATATCGTATATTGGGGTTATATGTAATATAGGGATATAGGGATTTTGGGGATGTGGGGATCTACCTGTGAAATCCGATGCTTATGGAGGATCCCACTAGCTTGTGACAACGCTTGGCTATTTAGACTGCTCTGAACAAAAAAAAGAAACTTCAAGGGGGCCTAAACTTAATCATAAACCCTAAACTCTGAACCCTACACCCTAAGCCCTAAGCCCTTAACCACACATTGTGCAGGGGGAGTGCGCACCCTGCAACGGTTCTCTCAAGAACCACGGGCTGACTTACGTAACCCTATACCTCAAATCCGATACCCTCAACGAACTGTGAAGAATCTGTGAATTTCTGGGAAGCTCGTGAAACCAGGGCCCCTACTAACATTCCTCGAGGAATACTGTGACTTACGTTAAATAAGGCCAAATGTCGCCACACCCTGCGCCTGCTTGAAGATTCATCGGTAGCAGTTATGAGTGGGGCTTTACACAGTGTATCTATACCTATACCCCAGTTTAGAGTACTTCGTATCCTCACCTATAACTAACCATGAACTTCCAAATGATTTTAAAAAAAGAGAAAAAAGCTATTCTGAGAAATCTTGGCGCGCCTCCTTCTCGCATGCGGGCCTGAGGCCGAGCGACTTCTCCTTGGAAGCAAGCTTTCGGTCTGAAAACAGACTGTATGTTTCACTGGTACGTATACAAGGGCAATACGTAAGGTTTAGGGTTTGGGGCTGGTTTCGGGGCTGTCTAGGGGAAGGGACAACATTTGGTGGTTATTGTCCGTGTATGCAACTAAGGCTGGAAGTACCTGGGGTGTTAGCATAGCTCCCCTATCCTAGTTTAAGGTATAGCTACCCCTAGACCCTAAGCCCTAAACGTGAACCTTCAAGGATCCTCCGTCCAAGCACGAAGGGCTTCGGATGTAGGGACTGGGGAGCTTCTTATAAAAGGAAACCGCAAGGGTTTAGGGTTTGGGGTATTCCCAATTTGAATATTGGCAACAACAGATCAATGAGTGCCGTACCCGACAGCTAGGCTATAGCCAGCCACCGGGCTGGTATGATTGCCCAGGGAGTACATGAGACGGCGAAAAAAAGCGCGTTTCTTTGGGGTGCTTTTAAACAACAGCTGTTCCTCTCCTAGACTTCTTGCAATAAGAACCCTAGACTGGAGTTTTGTAGCATAGGGAGGCCTTAATGAGACATGCCAACATGAACCGGATGAACCAGAAGCTTTGGAACCCTAAACCCTAAACCCTAACCCCGAAGCTTTTGCACTAAGGCTTTGCATGCAGGTTAGGCTGGGCTTGAGGCACTCACTGTTGACCCATGGGCTCAGTCCATGGGTTCAGCGATCTGTTGTCGCTCAGTGGGCAGACCCTCACTATACGGGGAAAGACAAGCGTTCTGCTTTAGCGCGAACGCTTGCGCTGCAAGGTGGCGACGTACGCGACCTGCCTTTACAAAGCCTTTTGAGGAACTCAGGAACACTCTGACGTGAATTGGCCCCGGCTTACTGGCAGTGTAGTCACAGTGAAGAACTTGAGCCTTCATTGCTCTAATGAAGATTGTATCAGGCACTGGGGCAAGTAGAACTTCTAACTTTGCAAACATTGCAGATCTGCCATTGCTGTATGAGCGAGGAGCACAACCGTCCCAGCTCTGCACTCTCACCACTGGCTAGGCTAGAGCCGTTGGACTGAAAGAGTTCTCGCAAAAAGTTTGGACATTCCCAGCCTTCCGGTCTCGGAAGCATGCATGCGCCACAGTACTCTACGAGCTGCGGCACCTGAATTCACAAATAAATTTTAGGACTTTGCTGCAGTTGGCTATTCGGAGCGGCTAATGCGCCAGCCTATACGCCTCGGTTCCCTCCGTGGTCTTGCTAAGATACAACCGGTCGCAGGAACCGTGTCCAACCGCGCGTCCTGCAAGGATTGGTTTCTGAAAATTCGGCCCCAAGGGCCCTAGGGCCCTAGGGATGTGGGGGATTGCAGGGATCCTCCAAGGATTATCTACCAGGACCTTCCTTGTACCCTTAATTGGGGCGAAATGGTCCCTACTGGCGGGTACTTAGGCCCTAATAGAGGGTAGGAGGAGGGTCTAGGTAGGGACTTTTTTCATGTACTCCCATAATTTCAGCTACGCCGCACCCTACCAGCTGGAATCTTGGAAGACCCAGACATGGACTCGGAACTCCCAATGGGTTGTCCTAAAATCAGGGGTAATTACCATTTTGGGGTCCCTATCATAAGGACTATGGTTTTTTGAGGGTCTATATTGGGGTCCCCTTATTTTGGGAAACTACCAAACCTTGATCCTAAAATATCCCTAAACCCCAAACCCGGAACCCAAAGGTCTCCATCTCTACACCCTAAACAGTAGTTTCCATTTTCTTTTCCATTATCACTATGTAACCCCAATATACTACATATATATATATATATCTATATATAGCAGTTTCCATGTTCTTTCTATCAATCCCTAAAAAGTCTCCTCAAAATTCAAGTGTAGCCTCATTGGCTCAGAGAGTGGCGCGGGTATCGGGCATGATGCTGCTCCGACTCTTGCTCACCTTGCTCATCAGCTGCTTTCGGATAACTCATACACTCGTATAGTCCCCCTTAAGTAGATAGAATTTGGGGTATATGGGGATCGTATTTAATATATATATTCAAAGCAATATTCTATCTACTTCAGGGGGACTTTAGGGTTCAGAGGATAACTCATAGACTCATAGTCCTACAACATAGGAGCTTCTTAACGTGGGGCCCCGAGGGACCCCAGGGTAAAAAGTGTAAGGTGATTCTGAGGGGTCCCTCTTCACGGGACTTTTTAGGGCCATCTTTCGAAATAAGCACATAGTGGCCGCAACAATAACTGCTCAAATAGCTCAAGCTCTAGCTGCTGTTGCTTCTGCTAGCATGTTGCAGGATGCTGCTTCAGGCGGCGCCCTGAACCCTAACCCCTAAACTATAAACCCTAAACTCTAAACCCGCAACACAAGCAGTCCCACAGCCTTCCCAGGTCACTACTCGTATTCACACAGCCTGACACAGATGATAAACATTAGGGTTTAGGGTTTCTGGTTTTAGGGTTTAGGGATTGGGAGCATCTTGAAAACTAGGCTACACAAAGGCGAATCTAGGAAAATGGATCATAAAGAAGGAGAAGTAGGCATACCCCTTAGGATTGCACAGGGGATGCTTCGAGAAAGCCCTCCATGAGGGCAATAGGATTTAGGGTTTAGGGTTCCACCGAAATCTGTATACTACAACTCCCAAGCAAAAAAAAAACTCAAGTACCCAATTATTGGGTAAATGGACCTTTGAGGCTACTGCCATGGGAGAATCTAGAAATTGGATCCCCTACATATACCCATAGTACCCCTGCAGAATCCCTACGGAATTGCCCGTGTTATTCGAGAGAATCCAAAACCTAGACCCTAAGCCCTGTAAACCTTAACTAAACCATTACCCCCCAAACCCTAAACCCTAAACCCTAATGAGGCGGAAGCCTGCGTTGCCTCTCGCTGTGGCTGGCTGTAGACATTCTCAAAGTCGACCTCTGAACCAGGTCTCATGTGAGCTGTGGTCTAGACTCCTTCAAAGGGGGTTATATTATACAACCCTAGGGTTTAGGGTTATAGGGATTATATATAGACTACTATAGGCCTTATTAAGGGGGATACTAGGAGTTTAGACTATAGCTCATGTGGGGGGGCCTCTAACTAGTTAGAATGGGTCCCTTGAATGGGTTTATAGACGGATATGTCAGTCCACAAGCACATATAGGGTCTCAGGTCTACAGGCCTAAAAAACAGAGCAGCGGAACATAAAATGCAAATGGCTATGTTGCTCAGGGTTTTTGGTCTTGGATGCAGGCCTAAATAAAACAGAACTCTGGAGAATCAAATGGTAAATGAAATAAAAACTGGTGGCTAAAGGGGGAGGTTTAAGGGATTGTGGAGTTAGGGGCGCAGATTTTTGGTTTAGGGTTTAATTAAGGCTTAGCGAAGTAGAATACGACTTTTGATCTTTCCAGCAAGGTTATCTCCCCCTAGCATTGGTTCCTGTCCGGAATACACGTCACCCAACCTAACCCTAAACCCTAAACCCTTGACCCTAAATTGGGGGTTGTCTCCCGCAGCCCCGGGTGGCCTCAGAGACCATTGATGCTTATTACAGCAAGATTACACCAAAATTTGCCAAGGCTATCCAGCCTCAGGGCGTTCAGAACTGTCGCTCGTTTCGACCCCGCCCCTCCCATGGTGGGTGGCCTAGTCCAGCCTGACCATCCCGCGTGAAATTCCAGGTTCGCACCAGGTACTGAGCAGCAGTGAGCATTTTTGGTCCAACACGTCCCCTCCCTCCCCCCCCTTTTCCTCCCCCTTCAGGGTACCTACACTCCTTCACTTAAGGCTGATGGACTGAAGTGAGGCTTGCCTCCGTTACTCCCTCGACCCTAAACCCCACATGTCAACTACATGCCATCACCTATTCGCGTGCTCCGAGGCGGGCGCGCTATAGGGTCCATAATTACACCTAGTGGAATATTTCGGGACCCACTAGTCCACTAGGAGTTTACCCTCAACGTGCCCTTTTGAAAGTAGTTTTGCCCCTTCAGAAGTAGTTTTCGAGGATTTCGGGCATGGGCTACGGATCTGTTATGAGGATGGCTTGTTCACTACTAGGGGAAAGCGATTTCTCAATAACAAGAAACTTTCCCAAACTCGGTACAATTATTACTAACACCAACAGCCCAAGTACCCAACTATTGGGTACATGGGCCCTTACAGCTCTCACGCAAAACCGAGCCTCAACTTCATGGAGGGCCTCGATCATGTGACCCATATCTGTGTCCAGATCATCAGCCTGGTGACTCCAAGGATAGTTATATAGGATTACATGAGGGTTTAGGGTTTAGGGTTTCTATAGGGGTATATAGCCCCAATAGTGGAGAATCAAATGGAAAAGAAACTGGAAGATAAAGTGGAAACTGGGATTATATAGCATTTACAGGGATTGTATGATTGGGCAGCCATGCAAATTTGCTGCAAAGCATTCTGAAAACCCCGAACCGTAAGCGCCTCCGAAGTTGGGTATGCTCCCCACAACCCGACAACCTCTTGAGCCTTGTATAGAACCGCCCCCCTAAACCCTACACCCTAAACCCTAAACCCTAAACCCTAAATCAAGGCAAAGCAAAACCTTGCTTTGCAAGACTGGTGGCCAGCTGGTCACCACCGCCAGCCTCGATGTCATGGAGGCGGCTGTTCCTGGGTTGCTGTATAGGGTTATTGGGGTAGAATATAGGGTTTAGAGTTTAGGGTTAGTGTGTTGTCCCCCCTATAATCCCTATAAACCCCCCTATAACCCCTATAATCCCTATATAACCCCTACCCTAAACCCTAAAACCCTAAAACCCTAAAACCCTATACCCTAAACCCTAAACCCCTAAACCCCTAAACCCTAAACCCTAAACCCCATATTAAGTTCCTTAAACAGCAACCAAGGCTCAGATGGGTCAAGGCAGTCTGGGCCTCCTTCAAGTCCTCTGCGAAGCGCTCCCGTTCCAGCTTCTTGATGTAGTCCTTGTAAAAAGGGGTTTAGGGTTTAGGGTTTAGGGGTTTAGGAGTTTAGGGGTTTAGGGTTTAGGGGTTTAGGGTTTAGGGTTTAGGGTTTAGGGTTTAGGGTCCTATACCCTACAGTCCATATCCCCGGATTTCCCTATATCCCTGAGTCCTTGAGAAGTTGGCGGCAGGCCATGTAGAACAGGCCCATGCTGCCCGTCACAAACGCCGGCACCAGGAGCGCCAAAGGACCTGGGATGATGTTCTCCGCGTAGATCCCGATGAGGCCTCCGAACAAGTAGAAAGACCACAGCCCTGAAAGCACGCCCAACTTGCGCGCATCTACACCAATTTCAGCGCACTCAATGGCGTTTAGTGGAGCACAGCGACAGGCTTTCCGAAGGTAGATCATGCTGATGCGGCCCAGAGTGGAGCCAATGTCGGTGACAGTTCCGGTGACGTGCGTGGTGCGGATGATTGCGCCAAAGTGCGAAGTGCACATGGCGTTCTGCAGCCCGCAAGCAGCTGCCACGAAGCATGTTGGAACCAGGCGTCCTGGGATGAGGGCTGCCGTGATCAGCAAGGCAGAGTTCAATATCAGGGCTAGGCCATAGAACGCCTTACCCATGAAGTGCACCTGGTTCTTGTCGATGAGAAGCCCGCATGCATAGGCTCCTGCAAAAAATGAGAGCACCAAGCAGCAGGCTTCTTTCAAGGTCTCGCCGCCATATTCGCCCTGATGGTAGCCCTCGAGGCGGAAGGCGATTTGGGATGTGCTTCCAGTCACATGCGACGCATAGAGCGTCCAGTTCTTGAAGGCAATGACGTTGGCTGCGCCGGCACAAGCAGCCAGGCACCAGCCAAAGCCCATCACCCAAAACTTTGGCCGCTGGAAGCTCTTCCGGATGGCGGCAGCCTGCTTCTTCGTGGGGCTCATGCTCGACTGCCGCGATGCACGAGACGGTGAGAGCGGTGCCTTCTCCAAGGAAAGGGTCTGCGTCATCTTGGGAAAATGAGAGAACAACAAACCCTTTGGGTCAGTACAGTCTGCCCCTTGGACCGCTGCGACTGCATCAAGAAACTAATCGCAGCAACCCACAATGCTGGAAATGGCAGCAGTGCCAGAACCGCAACAGCAGCAGCAGCAAGAAGAAGAAGCAGCAGAAGAAGAAGAAGTAGGAGAAACCAGAACAATCATCATCACCGTCACTAGCACCACCACAAATACCACCCACAACACCAACACCAACATCAACACCAACACCACATCACCACCACGGCAGCAGCAGCAGCAGCAGCAAACGTGAGGATAGTTAGGGCGCATACGCACTGCACAGCTGGCAATTGGGTCCGCCTGTCTTGGATGAAGGCACGATTTAATCGCCTCCCACTAGATCAACAGCAGTTACCCTGCCCCTGGACACACAAGACATGAATGCTGGCGGCATTTTTGAGTGGTTGTAGACCCATATGGCAGAAATCGCAATGTCACTCAAGCAATTATGATAATAGTGTTCAAAAAAATCTTACGGTCTATACAGAAAGCCTGCATCATCGTAGTACAAGCGAATATAAAACTTTCCCAAGGTATACGGTACGCGGGGTCATGCAGAATTGTTTTCTGCCAACCGCAATCGGACTGATAGTTAGTACTACCAACTTGTGCCAGAGCAGCAGCAGTAGTAGTAGTAGTACTACTACTACTACTACTAGTACTAGTACTAGTACTAGTAGTAGTACCCATGCGTCGGATGTCCAACAGTCGGGTTTTTCAGCATTTGTCAACCTCAAACAATGTGTTTGCGCTGCGGTAATTCTGCAATTTTGCAGATTTACCTCAAGACGTTGCCAAGTGAAAGAACGCCTATTTTGGCACAACATGATGTTTTTGCCTTTCGCTATGGGAATTTGCTACTCATTATGCAATCCTGCGTTTTCGCTGTCGGAATTCACTAATTTCTTACATTTTTGCGGCTTGGCTAATTCACTTATCTTCATATTTTTTGTTGTTTTCGCTGTATGAATTACAGCATTTTCAAGCATTTTCAGGTTCTGACTGCTTCTTCTTTATGCATAAGCAAGATATTAACATCCATGTGACCACTGCATCCATGATTTTGGCATACGGATAAGCAAGATGTGAACATCCATGCGACCACTGCATCGATGTTTTTTGCACGCGGATGATAAGCAAGATGTTAGCATCCATGTGACCACTGCATCCATGGTTTTGCATGCGGACAAGCAAGATGTGAACATCCATGTGACCACTGCATCCATTTTTTTGCATACGGATAAGCAAGATGTTAACATCCATGTGACCACTGCATCCATGATTTTGCATACCGACGACTCGACGACTGTGAAAAACATGGCCCAGAAGCTTTAAGTTCCATTGACATGACCCTACAATGCAGCGGCTTAAAAACTACAAGTTTTTTACCTGGCAACTGCTGAGCGACCACTCAATATAGGTAAAATTCCGAGGTCCCAATTTAACTGCCAGGGCCAGTATTTTCTGCACTTCCGAGTGTTCTGAAGCAGTTCGATGAGCTCAAAAAACCCAGCGTCAGATATCCGACGCATGCGTAGTAGTAGAAGTAGCAGTAGCAATAGCAGGAGCAGAAGCAGTAGCAGTAGCAGTAGTAGCAGTAGTAGCAGTAGTAGTAGTAGTAGTCGTCCTGCAATTAATAGTAGAAGAAGCAGTAATACTAAGAAAGAGAAGACAAGATTTGTTCACTGAGTCTAAGATCCCTACCGCCCAACTCATTGCAGAGTTGGGAAAGACCAGCGCGTCCAGCTTTGCCTTCAGCAAAACACAAAGTTTACTGAAAGGCTCATGGACAGGCTGTAAGTGGAGAATAACCCTAGAATAGTAGTTTCCATTCTATTTTACATTACCCCAATATAACCCTAACATTACCCCAATATAACCCTAATATTACCTCAATATACAAGGAGTCTCGGTTGGCTTGTCAATACATCATTTCTCCCAGTTGTGACTCCGCTTCTACTGGTTTGCTTAACACATGCCACAAACTTTGTTAGCCTTCATTTTCTTCAGGAGATCGCTTTCAACCCATTCCTAGGGCAATGTTTACACCTGCGTGGCCCGGGTGTGTTGCCACCAGTACTGCTGCCACATGCTTCTGGCCGTCTTGACACTGCCATCTAGGTTCCCCACTAACCCATGAATAATAAGGGTACCCTTTTCCCTACTGTTTAGCTTTAAGAAGGAGACCCCAGAATATAAATGGCAAAAGGGTACTACTGGGGTACCTAGCCATTCAACTGATGATTGTCCTGGTTGCGCTAGGCAGCCATCAAGACCAGAGCAGCTGCACTTGTTTGGCGACATGCTGTCTGCCTTCAGAAGTAAGTCCTAAAACGATAACCATAAACCGTACATTGTTTGACCAGCGATCCCCCGGCCTGAATGAAGTCCCGATACATCTGCTGTGGGACCGTGCAATTGGACGTGTCCGGCATGGTGGAGTCTGCAATGAAACCTGGAAAGTTCTCTACAGTTTGGCTTCCAGGGGCAGAAGGAAGATATACAAACAATACGTGGAATACGGGATCCCGAATGGTTCGTAATTGTTCAGGCTTCCCTACACGACAATCCGTATAAACTCCAGCTTCCCAAGTTCTTTCTCTACCATCCGCATAAACTCCGGTTTCCATATCATTTTCCATGCTCTTTCTATTTGATTCTCCATTGTTGGTCCTATATATATAACCCCAATATACTATCGCGATTCCTATTCAACCTTATATAACCCCTGTATAAACCCCATGTAAACCCTATATATCCCCTATCTAAACCCTATATAAACCCCATATATCCCCTATATAAACCCTGTATAAGCCCCAAATAAACCCCATATAAACCCTATATATTCCCTACTATCCCCTATGTAAACCCTATATGGCACAAAGGCAAATACTCTAAACCCTAACCCTAAACCCTCAAGCCCATATAAACTTACCATTGCTTAGGGTACCCAAATTTCCCTCATTTTCACAGTTCAAAAGTTCAAAACCAAAATGAACCCCCCAAACCCTAAGTAGTGGTAATAAACCCTAAACCCATACCCCGGCAGGCTCCAGCCTAGCTAATTTGTCATAGATTGCGCGGCGGTGGCCAGTAGTAAAAGTCCGTGTTGGGGGATCTTTACACTAAGGACCATGGCAGTCTTGGGTAAAGGGGACCCCTATTCTAGGTCGCTGCTAAGGAACTTAATCTACGCTACTATCTTGGGCAAACCCTATTTGTTACTCTATATATATATACATACCCATTATGGTAACTTAATTTGAACTCCTTAACAGCAACCCAATATTTTCAAGGAACTTTGCGTGATGTGTGTGCGTGTTGCTCTTGAGGTTGAAGCTGATGTCGCCTGTTTTAATAACCCAGGCCCACTAAAGGATCCAAAAAAAGGAACCCCCTTATGGGGTTATAGGGGTTATATAGGGATAATGCAAAAAAATGGAAACTACTATTTAGGGTTTAGGGTTTATAGGGCTAAAGGATCCAAAAAAAAGGAACCCCTCTAATTATGAACCCATTACTAAATTGGGGTAACTAGGGGATTATTAGGGGGCTCCATTTTATGGATCCCTAAACCCTAAACCCTAAACCCTAAACCGTGTGGGTCTGGGAAGGGCATTTTAGTTCCCCCAACCCTGATAATGAGGACCCTGTAACTCTCATACGACTGTACAAGGGGCAGAATTTTAGGTTCGGGGTTACAACCCTAAACCCTAAAGTCAGTACTACAATCGGTTTCGGGTTTAGGGTTTAGGGCTTATCCCCAAACCCTAAACCCTAAATCTTAAACCCTAAAGCCCTAAAACCCTAAACCCTAAAACCCTAAACCCTAGACCCTATGGTTCAAGTTGTTCGCTGTCTCAACATCACCATTGTGGCGCCCCATGGTCTGAAACCTAGTCTGAAAAGGGGGGCGGGCCCTGGAATATTGTCTCCTGCTTATTTTAGGGGGGTTAAGGGATTAGAGTTTAGGGTTCAGGGTCTAAGGTTTAGGGGTTGAGGCTTAGGTTTCGGGATTAGGATTTAGGGATTAAGCTTTTTCTTGTTGTTCATGTTCTAGCTTGCTCCTGGGTGTTCCTTCAGTGCCCTCCAACACTATTTACAACAGCGGGTATATCGTGCTAGGAGAATAGAAGCCGAATTTCATGTTCTACTTTCTTTTCAATTTGATACCTATCGGGGTAATGTATGGCTAAACCCTATGTAATAGCAGGAGGAATCTTCGCCGGTTCAGTAGGCTCCCTAAACCCTAAACCCCTGAAATGATCGCTGGGCATTCAGCGGGCTTCATGCAGCAGACGCTTTTCATCCACCTGCCAGGACGGTTCTTGGAGCCGGCGGTTGGTAGGGAACACAATCCCTGAGGAGCACCCCCCACCCTGTAATAGTGGTATAATAGGTTAAGAGGACCCTAATATAATCCCTAATATCCCTTATAGTCACTATTACTGGGTGGGGGGTCCACCTGAACAATCCCAAACAATATGAGGTATTTTCCCAAAATAGGGGGACCCCAATGTAGACCCCAAAATACTATAGACTTATTATGGGGATCCCCAAAAAGGTACCCCGAATTTTGGGAAACCCCCATAATCCTTATATAATATATTCCCTGGAATATACCCCCTGTATGATAGAATCCTTTACAAAGTATTCCCTTATTCCCGACTGACCCCCAGTAAGACAAGCTCCGCCGCTCGCAAGCTTCAACAACGCCAGCCCTGAAGCCTAGCACTTGCCGTGATTTGGAGGTGGTGGGAGGAGTGCGGTGAACATAAAACCTACACCCAAAGCCCCCAAACCCAAAACCTTAAACCCCCAAACCCTAGACTCCAAACCCTACAGATCTTGGGCTTTGGGCCATTCTTAGGCGCGGGGGACGCGGCACCTGTCCAAAACCTTGCGCCTCTGAGGTGCAAGACTTTACGTTATATACTGTAGGGGCTTGAAGACTTAACACTTAGAATATAGGGTTTAGGGTTGAGACTTTTCCCCACGGACTTTTATGCCTGCATGAAATGCATGGGGTCACACACGCCCTCTTAATTCTCTGTCTGGACTCCGATCGTGGGATGGTAGTTACGGACTATAGGGATTAGGGCTTAGGGCGTAAAGTGCGCTTGGGGGTTCAGGTACTATAGCTAGATGAGGATTATGACGAGTATAAAGAAAAACATTAGTAAATACTTTCAGGGGCGTCTACATGAAGTTGCTGGTTGTAGTTGTGGGGCCTGGGGATTTGAAGGCTCTGACATTTGGGGTTGAGGGTTTGGGGTTAAGGGTTTCGGGTCGAGCTGGAATCATGAAGATGCGGGTCCTCAGGAGGCCCTGCGATTATGTAGGGGCTCAGTTTCTGAAAGAGCGCCCTAAGGTCTGTAGAAAGCTGACTAATCGCTGCCAAGGGAAGCAACCTCTTCAGAAACGCTCTGAGCTGAACCCAAATTCGACAAAAATCAGTGAAAATGGAATGGAGAGGCCCATCAGGCATCTGTGGCATCCCTGCAAATTCTAGCCCTTAATCCTGAACTCATATGAGCTACAGCCAATATTACCCAGATAACTAATGGACGTGGGTTCCTTATTGAGGACTGTAAGAAGGACTATACTAAAATACAAGAGGACCCCTACGCCCACCCTTAATGGTCCCTTGGTAAGGATATTGTAATTATAGACAGTAGCTCATATGATCTCATGAGGCTTTGCGTGTAGGATGTGAGGGCTACCCCCACCCAGAAATGACGCCCTGAACACCAACACCGGCTATTTGGGTTCGTTCCTGGGGAACCCCCGAATAGGACAGACCCCCTAAGAAGGACGCGTAGAAGGTGCTTAGAAGGGAAGCTAGAGTAGAGGTTACTTAGCGGCTCTGTTCTTTCCGGGGGTGTTTTGGGGAGCTACCTGACCCTAAACTAGGGTAGGTTTGGGGGGGGCCCTATAAAGGTTCATTTGTATGCCTTCATTTATGGGGGTTATGTAGGAATTTGGGGTAACAGAAATTTAAAAAGTATCTTTCAGCCCCAACATGACCCTAAGCCCTAAACCCTAAACCCTGTCTTGGGGGTTGCTTAGGGATCCCCCTAAACCCTAAACCATAAACCTTAAACCCTAAACCTTAAACCCTAACCCCTAAACCCAAAACCTTAAACCCTTAACCCTAAACCCTGAATTCTTGGAGATCTGAGCTAGAGCCTTGCCCTCATCAACTGCCCAGCGTGGGCTTGACACCTGGGGCTCGCCACATCCATTGGTGGTTGAGGGTGTAAGGTCGCCTGCCATCTATGCATGGCCTTATGACTTTTCATTCTATATATAATATATATATATAGATATATATATATATACATATTGTTTACCTATGTGTTTATTTACATATATATATACTCGGTAGAGTAGCGGAAGAGTTAGTATGTGGGGCTCGATGCCCCATATGCCTTAGTTCCTGGAGTTGGGGAGCTCCAACGGGCAAGCTACAAGATGATCCAAACGCTACGAACCCTCTCGAGGGCAGCGGAGGTTCTCTTATAAAGGGCAGTTTCATTTACCCCAACCCACAAGACGAGAATGTGTGTGGCTTAGACTGCCATAGGAAGCTCTTGTTGATCCCAACCATACAACGCGGTTCGTGAAGAAGCTTAAGCAGGCAGAACGTGATGCTGAGGTGCGCTTGATGTGTAATAGGCCGACTACGATCAAGATGGGCAGTGATGACAAAAACAGCATGTAAGACCAGATAGAACTATGATTTCCGGAGTTGTCAGGGAACTTAAGCTAAGTTATCATGATATGGAGGCATGCTAAACAGCCTAGTTTGCTTATTGGTCTAACTAAAAATGTTTGATTTTCTTCGTGGCTTAAG